ATATATATATACATGAATATAAAAATAAATAACAATTTTAATTCTTAAATGTTTTAGCCTTTAATGGGGTCATATTCAGTATGGAGTCATAATTCAGATGTTAAAATAATAAAATTTCTTATCTGTTGCGTTAAATGTTAATTATTGTCTTAATTGTAGTCAATGAATAAAGATTCTTGGTTGTTCCTCTATTTCAAATTTTTATATCATTTCAAATAGAGGAGAAGAAATCCAGCATGCCAAATCCAGAAATTTATATACATAAATGTGTACAGCCAAGAATCTTTATTCATTGATTACAATTAAGACAGCAATTAACATTTAACGCAACAGACAAAAAATTTTATAAAAAAAGAAAGACAGAAATACTATTGACAGAATATTTGCTTCCATGTTAATGTTTAATAAATATTGACAGGGTGGTCAATGGTTCATAATGTTAATCGATTATTACGGCGGTACTTTTGTGGCAATAATCGTTGGCATTCTCGAGATAGCGACCATCTTCTGGATGTATGGTCTCTTGAATTTCCTCAATGACGTGGAATTTATGCTAGGCAACAGATTAGGTGCTTACTGGCGAGCTTGTTGACTTGTAATCACGCCTGTGCTCATGATCATCATACTGATTTACACATGCACCACTTATGAGCCGCTCATGTATGACGGTAAACGGTTTCCCGATTATGCCTATGGTCAGTGAAATTTATTTTATTTTATAATTTTATATATTCGATTTCTTAAATATCTCTTTTATTACAAAGCACATAAAATCATTAAATTTCATCATAAATATTATTTAAAGGTCATTTTTTTTAGAGTGATACTTTTACATTTTTATTTTCAGGAATAGGATGGTTCGTGCTAGTTCTAGGTATATCTCCCATCGTATGGTGGATCGGCCAGAAAATAATTACGAATAGAATGTCGTCTTTCACCGAAGTATGTATATTTTGAGATATATATTTTGAGATATACTAAAAAAAAACAGTAGTAGCTACAAAAGTGGTAACTATATAAATTTTTTTATATTTTATTTAGAATTAATATATTAGGTGTAATAAAAAGAAATCCATTATTTTTGCATGAAATTGAATGAAAAAATAATGGATTTCTTTTTACTATACCTAATATATACAGGATGTCCCATGAGACTTCTCTTACACTCATAGAAAGGTAGATGGGATTGAGATAAATACAAAAAAGTCCCATACCATTTAACAATATTTACAATAATAATCGAGATATTAATTTTTGAGACTTCTCTTACACTCATAGAAAGGTAGATGGGATTGAGATAAATACAAAAAAGTCCCATACCATTTAACAATATTTACAATAATAATCGAGATATTAATTTTTGTAAATATAGGTGCTAATGAGAGCATGCTGAGAGAAACGGCAAGAGCAACGTGTGAGCGGTGATGCCGGGCGCCGAGCAACAGTACGCTTCTCATCTTGTCTCTCCAACGCGCTGCCGGCAGTTTTACATGATAAACTGAACTAGGTTATACCTCGACCGAAGCGTTTCTCTCGATGCATTCTCAATACAATTACAAAAATTAATATTTCAAAAATTATTGCGAATATCGTTATAACAATATTTTTTTGTGTTCACCTCGATCCCCTCTACCTTTCTGTAAGTGATGAGAGAAGTCTTGCAGGACACCCTATAATACAGGGTATTCAAGAAAAATCGGGACCTCGGATTTACTCGAGAGAATGATGTTTTTGAAAGAAATGTTTCAAATAAAAGTTGTAAAGTAATAAGTGCTTGATTAATTCTCACTATTGACCAGAAGAGGTCAGCATATATGCTATTTCAACATGACCAAAAGTGACTGCTAATGTATATGAAAGTACTGTCAATAGGATTTAATAATCAGTATGTAACATTTGATCGGATGCAAAGAACACAATTTTTATCACATTAAAAATGTCGGGTTTTGTATCAAAAAAAGAGAATTTGCGGGAAGCATTACTTTTCTATTTTAATCTCAAGAAACCTACTGCTGAAAGTCATCATTTGCTAGTGGAAGCTTATGGGGAGCATGTTCTATCTGAAACTTGCAGAGATTGATTTAGAGGATTCAAAACGATTTTGACGTAAATGACAAAGAACGCTCTGGTTAACCAAAAAAGTTTGAAGATGGAGAATTGGAGGCATTATTTCAAATAATATTAGAGAAATGTCAGAAATATTAAATGTCAATAAGTCAACTGTTAGCAAACATGTAAAAGCAATGGGAATGATCCAGAAGTTAGGAAACTGGATCCCACATGAATTAAGAGAAGGAGATATTGCAAAACGTTTAGCCATTGAATTGCTACTTCAAAAACAAAAATTATTTTTGTCGGAAATTATTTTTGCATCAAATTATGACTGGTGAAAAATGAATTATGATTAGACAACCGAAGCGCAAAAAATCATGGGTGCGTACCAGCGAACCATCAACATCAACTCCAAAACAGGATATTTATGAAAAGAAAGTCATGCTGTGCATTTGGTGGGATCAAGATCGGTGTAATGTACTAGGAGCTGCTGCAACCGAATCAAACCAACTGAATACTACTGATGTCAATTACTCAAATTATTCTTCATTAAGTACTTTAAAGTTACAGTACCACCAGCATTAACATTAGATGATGATGATGCAAGAATGTCCGACCGACTGCTTTCAAAATCTTCTGTTATTCAGGATTATGTCCGGAATAACTTTGTCAAGACCAAAACTATTGGAGGTTATATCTTTTATTTTCATTTTCATGTAAAAATGAATTCTTAGTGCAAAAATGAAAATAAGAGGAATAATCTTCAATTGACATTGATTTTACAACAAATGTTATCTAGAACATGATCCTAAACAACATTCAAAAGATCTTATCCGTCGGTCATCTTGCGTAATTCTAATGTCTACTGTAACTTTAAACTACTTAATGAAAAATAACTTTATCACAATGTTTAATTAGCATTGTGCATTTAAAATTCAAAGTTACTGGTTTACTGGTTACTTTCCACGCGGATTATATAAATTACCATCTTTTACCGGCCGTAATTGCAACCTTTATTTAAATTATTTTGGAGATGTAGCAAGAGCTACAATAATTATACAAATGTAATTAAGTAAAAACAAATTATAAATTTCATTTATTAAAATCAAATGACAAGAAATACACTCTTAATTTTCTCAAAAAACAATAGATGTGATAAGATATGAAGAGAGCACATAAGAATCAAATGAACAATTAAGTGTGTAAAAAGATAAATTATATAACATATTGAATAGATTAAAACATTTCAGAACAATATGTATTATACGTTTCGGCATCTCCATTGAGTCATCTTCAGATACTTGATACAAATATGTATTTGCGATATTATCTTAGTTTAACATAATGATGTCACATTCAAACTCCGAAAATAAGTTTAGAAAAACAGGGAATAAAAAGGATGGAGAACAAAGCACATATATATATATATATATA